TGTGTGTGTGTGTGTGTGTGTGTGTGTGTGTGTGTGTGTGTAGTAATGGGCAAAAGATAAAACTGGCACTTCACAAAATAGGAAATTCAAATGATCAATAAGCATATGAAAACATGTTCAACACCACCACTCAGGAAAATGCAAATTAAATCCACAGTGAGGTATCAATACATACTCAGAATAGCCAAAATTAAAAAGAATGACACTGTCAAGTATGGCAAAGATGTGGAGCAACAGAAACTGTCATACATGCTGGGGAGAGTGAAAAGCAGTTTGATCAAAACTATTTCATAATAAAGCTGGGGACAAAAAAAACTTTGCAATTACTAACACTAAGCATCCCCTATTCTGTAACCTAGCAATTCCACTGCTAGAGCATGTCCAACCGAAACAAGTGCAAATGTCCACAAAAGGACATGTACAAGAATGTTTAGAGGGCCAGCCAAGTGGCTCAGATGGTTAAGAGTTGGCTTGGGAGCATGAGCTCTGAGCAGCATGACTACCGGTTTGGTTCCCACATGGGCCAGTGACGCTGCACCCTCTACAGCTAAGCTGGTGAACAACAGCTCAACCTGGAGCTAGGCTGCCGTAAGTCACCAGCGATGGCACAGGCTGCAGTGGGGCTGCAGTGGGCTGCTATGAGCTACTGTGAGCGGCTGGCAGCCAGCGTGAGCGGCCGGCAGCCAGAGTGAGCTGCCATCCAATGGCCGGTGACCGACTGCCTCAGCCAGGAAGAGCGCAATGATCATAATACCAACACAGGCCAGTGAAGCAATGTCCTCCACAACTAGACTGAAGAACAAAAGGACAGCAACTTGTCTGTTCCCCTTCCCCCATTCCTCAACACTGTTCCCCTCCCCTAATTCCCCAAGTAGGAAAAATAAAAAGACGCATCTCAGTTTAGACTAAAATAAATGCCACATGCTCTCTTCAAAGCTTTTCCATAAATTCAAAATAGTTCTAAAAAATAAAGTTTTTAAAGAGATCAGATTTGTGGTTACCAGGGTGGTGCAGGGGTGATTGGAGGAAGGGGTCAAAAGGTGCACACTTCCACTCACAAGTAACAAAGATGCAATGTACAACATGACTACAGTGAACACTGCTGTATGACACACAGGAAAGTGGTTAAGAGAGTAGATCCTAAGAGTTCTCATCAAAAATCAAAAAGAGAAATGTGTTTCTTCTTCTTTTTATGACAGATGTTAACTAAAACCTATTTGGTAATCATTTCACAGTATATGTAAATCAAACCATCATGCGGTACACCTCAAACATAATACAGTGATGTATGTCAATTTTTTCTCACTAAAAAACACAGAAAAAGGTAAAGTTTTTAAAAATATGTATCATGTGCTCTGGAAAACTATCAACTGATTCAAAAAGCATTTTTAACTCATTTAAAAACTTTTTTATTTTTATAAACAGGCAAAATAGAGAAGACAATAGTGAATCCCCATAACCAATTACTCAGATACTGTAATTTCAAGATTTTTATAACTTTTTTTTCAGCTTTATTTCAGCTGACAAATAATTAGCACAAAACCAGGTTAATTTAATCATCACCTCACATAGTTACTGCTTTTGTGAGTCAAAAAGTATGTTTAATGATAAGTCATTGATGTTGCAAATATGAAATGTTTCAATAAAACTGCTTCATGAAAACATGAGTGGAAAAGAGGTATTTCTAAATGTACAAATTAATTTGTGAATTTGAATGTATTTGTAATTAACTTAAGAAATTAAATATCATAAGTAAACATTAGACTATTTCATCTAGCTCTAAAATTTAACATATTCAAGTTACATGTTAAGCTTCTCATTGGGGAATTAGGGGACTTACAATCAAGGTATAAGGTATCTTACAATACCAACTCAATCTGAAATGTTCCCTTGGAGACATACACCACAAAATAAGGCGCCTTCGCCAAAACAAAGGAAAGAAAGAAAGAATTCTCTGGTTATTAACCGTCCACACAAATTACTGTAAGGCCACCAGGAGTCCAGACTGAACTCGATACTTTTGCTGGTAACTCTCCTGGAATCAGAGCAGACTACAAGCTTAAAAACCTGGTAACTATGTGTAGCCAGCAGCCAGCGTGAGCGGCCAGCAGCTGCAGTGAGCGGCCATCCAGAGGCCGGCGACTGATCTGCCTCGCCCGGGAAGAGCGCAATGATGGTGCCAGCTTGGGCCAGTGAAGCAACGTCCTCCACAACTAGAC